AATACTTAATATCCAAATCTTTTTGGTATCTTAATTGTTCTGCCAGATCTCCTCACCATATCACCATTAATATCTTTATTTATCACACCTCCACTTTGTACTTTATCACTCATATCCTCTTCCTCGTCTAATTCCAAGCTTAGCGTTTTCTTTTTTCTCATAAATATTATATTTCTTCTTAATTCCTTTCCACTATTATCTTTCACTAGATAACATCTAGGTAAATCTAATTTCTTTATTACTCTTGCCTCACTCCAAGTTTTATTAAATTTATTCTGTAACCATACTTGTTCTCCCTCCTTATATTCAGTTTCCTCTACCGTCCCTTTAATATCAAAATACATCTTTTGTGTTACTTGGTTTTTAACCATTTTTTGTTTAATCAACTTAATATCATTATCATCCATCCTAATTTTTATGGGTAGTTTAGTTTTTAAAATTCTATTTTGTAGTAGATTTGCAGGTGATTTACCAATATTCATTAAAGGAGTATTTCTATAACTTAATAAGTAATTCTCAAATTCATCATTTGTATCATTACACTTCTTCAAAATTTTTTTTATAATGCCTACATATTTTTCCACTAACCCATTACTCACAGGGTAGTTTGGACTACTATTATTTATTTGTATTCCCCATTCTTTTGCAAACGCCCTAAACTGTATACTACTAAACGGCATATTATCCGCAACAAACACACTAGGAATACCAAATCTAGCAAACACTTTTTTACACTTTTTGCTTATTTCTTGTGCTGTTTTCCATTTCAACTTACATACTTCAACCCATTTTGAATAATAATCTACAATGATTAGATAATCCTTTCCRCCATAACTARCTATATCTGCTCCAACTTTGTCAAATGGTACATCAGGTATTTCATGGTTTAGTAATTCATTTCTTTTATTACTTCTGGTATACTTATTACAAATTTCACATGCCAGAACTAAGTTAGTAATATCTGATATTATACCTGGCCAATACATATGCTGCTTTGCTAATTCTTTTGTCTTGCATACTCCTTGATGACTGTTGTGTAACTGTTTCAACATGCCATATCTTAAAATTGTTGGTATTATTACTCTATTATCAAAATATACTAACTCGTCTTCTACTGTTAAATCTGATCTTATTTTATAAAAATGATTAATTTCACTCTCTTCTTTCAATTTCTTTGGCCATCCATTTAAATAATATTCTTTTACTCTACTTAATATTTTATCTCTATTTGTTTCTAATTTTAGTTCAATAATTTTATCTATGCTATATCTTATTTCTGTGACTCYTACTGTATGAATGAGATCTCTTAATGACGCATCCTCATTTTCTTCTTTATAAATTATATTTCTTGTTAATAAATCAGCTATATACATATATTTACCAGGTAAGTATTCTAATGTAAATCTGTAATTCATTAACTTTAATTTTAACCTCTTCAGTCTATTATTCTATTTTTATAAAAAAT